TCTGTGAGAGAAAACAACAGACACGTCAGTCATAAGTTAATAATATCTTGAAATAGTATCTGTGCAGAGTTTAACTAGAAAATCTGACACCCCACGACGGGGCAACTCTTCACAAAAGCCTCCAAGTGATCTGGCCGATTCAAATTTCATTTGGTATTCCCAGTAGTGGGAACTGTAATACTGATCGCTGCCTACAACAGCATTGGGTGATGGAGTATAATACCACATTTGGTAACACTAGAGGTCTGTTTCTCTTTTTTCCTTTCTTTTTTTTTTCCTTTTAAACATGAGAATCGTCTGATCCGTTTGACTATAGGGGCCAGATCGAGGAAAAAAGGTGAAATTACGAGAATAGAGTTGTAAATTTATGAGAATAAAGTTTCTACTTTTGGAGAATAAAGTCCTCTATTATTTAGAATATTATTCATCTCATTAATAATATCACAATTTTATTCTCATGAATTTACACCTTTTGTAATATCACAACTTCACTCTCATAAGTTAATGTTTTTTTTTTTTTTATAAGGTCATGACTTGTTGAACCTGTGACGTAAGTAGGCAGTTTTTACCACTTTTTCAAAGTTTTCTGGGTCCAAATGTTTAACTGCCGTAGATGAGACACTAATGCCACCCAAATGACGTCACATTTAAAGTCGTTTAATTGAGAGGATTGCTGGTTCGAATCTCCACTCTACCCAGGAGTTTTAAGTTGCATTTATAGCACCCTCTGCAGGGCAGTGGGCAGAGGATGAAAACTCCACCTCTGCAGAATTTCTCTCCTCAGGATGTGAGTGAAAGCAGGGAATCACAGGCAATCAGTCATGGAGGTACCAAACCTCAGAACCTGTGTGTGTCTGTGTGTGTATGTGTGTGTGGAAGGTACCATATTTAGATTAGGGCAGAGAGGTGGAGCCGAGGAGGGAATTCTATATTCCTGGCTGTGGGTGAAAAAAAAAAAGTAAAACAGCTCCTGAAGTCTGAGCCCCCGTCAGCCAGGTAACCCAAAACCTGGAGTGGGGAGTCAGCGTGGGATATGGGGAGAGGAACAATGTGGCTCTTTGTGCGAGCCAGGCAGGGAAAACAAACCGTTTCCCCTGGAAAGAGATCATGTTCAGGTTCCATCTGAGAAGACCACACAAGGCTGATCAGAGCAGTGTCTACTGTGTGGAGCGAGGATGAAGAGGAGGAGGAGGAGGCAACCACACATGCTAACACACACACTGAAAGACACTGTCAGAGAGAGAGAGAAGATTTCAGATGTTTCTGAACACAACGTCAGCACACAAGCCAGAAATACTCTTTGGTCCAGGATCAATCATGTGACTTCTTCTTCTTCTTCTTCTTCTTTCAGAGATAATGTGGCCATCTGGGCTGATTTCCTGGATTGGCACCCTGCTGGTCTACAGGCAGAGCAGCACTGTGGTGGGCTGAGGGGCTGAGGGATATATATATACATATATATATACATAT